AATTCCTATACCGTTCACCTGAGTTGGATGTACATACCTTCAAATTAAGCTGACAGTCTGCAGTTAACGCACATTGTGTTTGTTTCATTCCAAATCCATTGTGGTGGTGTATAGAGCCAAAGATGTTAGAATTGTGTCGATGTCCCAATATTTCTGGACCTGACTGTATATATCATCTCAGCTGAGCTGGAGATGTACTGGAGGCTGTGAGATTGAATAAGGAGAAACAACGGAACTCAAGGAAGCCCAAGTTCTTGTTTGTCCAGAAACATCTAGACTGCACTGGAAGTGATTCTGGGCAGGATATTTCCCCAGAAGAAATATGTCCACAACTTAGGGGTTCTCCTATACTCATAGCTACCACTAGATAGGCACAGGAGAGACATGGCTAGGGGAACCTTTGCCAGCTTCCTGGATTAAGGCAACAGTAGCTCATAACATCATTACCCTTAGGACAGACTAAACTGTTATATGAGATTACCTGGTTGATTACTGGAGGTTGCCATAACTATTTAACACCAGTGCTGCGGGCATTTCATTAGCTGTGGTCAATGGGGACTTGAAAGGTGTTGCTCACTTTCCTCTGGGGAATTAAAACTATAGGTGTCAGAGTGAGGGACCTCAACAGAATTATCAGTCTGATCTACTGGCAAAATTCTGGATGAGGAGCAGCTCCACTAATCATAGGCAGAAATAGGATCAGCTGCCACTAATGTCTGGATTCCTCCATTCCCAGCAGGAACTGAGGTAAGCCCTTAGTAGAGGCTGCTTAGAGGGACCGTGTGATACTTGGGGCAGTTTCCATAGCTGCAGCTGCTGTTGCCTCTGCACATAGCTCATGAGAGAAAAATGAGAGAGAACCTGGATTAGTGCCTACTGAGTGAAAACAAACTGAGTAATCTCAATATCTGATAAATCCATTTATCTAGTGATAGGAATCAAACTGTTGGGTATTCTTCCTTCATAAGAGCTACCAACAGATAGTGGAGCTCTTAACTATGATCTGCTATCAGAGATTAGGTAGGAGCAGAACTAAAGGAGAGAGGCCTCCTTCATATACATTCAACAAAAAATATTCCTGCTTTTCAAAGTAAATGGGATGATGAGCAATGAAGTAGAAGATAAATTCATCATTTCCATAGCAGAGGAGGTTAAGTAGAACTGATATTTTTGGTGAACCACATTCAACTTTCATTTAAAGAGGACTTTTTTTTTTTTGCATGTAACCCTGTAATATTTGACAATATTTGCACATTTTACCTGCAGCTGCAAATTCACAAAATGGAATGCCTGGCTTCTCTTCCTTCACTGAACTGATTAGTACGCTAGCAACATACAATGAGTATTTTTCAAGGTTATCAACATTTTTACATGCTCTCTTCACATTAACGTACAAAGTTCCCAATTTAGCCCAGTCACTTTTTTCTTTACAATGCTGTTCAAAAGTGAGAAAAGATGAATAGAATTACTAACAATGATTCAAATACACATATTATAAACTTAATACATAGCAGTATTTTCTTTTGTTTTGAAGTACAACCAAATTCTTTAAGTAGGCTTTGCCTCATACCTGACTGCTTGTCAATAACTGTATTTGGTAAGTTCTACAATTTTATTCAATTCAAACATCCAAAACAGTTATACAACTATACAATACTTTTTATCAGAAACAATTCAAAGTTTTTCTTGTGAAATACAATCTGACTTTGGAAATATTGGAAAAATATAAAAAATTACTTAAAATTCATTCCATCACCTTGACAAAGTATACAGATGATTTGTCTTTACTTAACAATAACCTTTACTTTACTTACTTTACTTAACAATAACCTTTTTTTAAGGTTGTACTACACTGCTGAAAGGAGAGAGAAATCTATCTGAAAAGAAGCTTGAAGCGTTTTTTCCCCATTAAAAAACTCTATCCCCCACAAATCCTGCTATGCTATTATGATGGTGATATATATGTGCTCCTGTCAGGGATGAGTGAAAAACATTGAAGTGTGTGAAGGTCTTCCCAACTGATCAGCTAAAGCAAGCAGGCACCTATACTTAGTAGCACTGATAAAGGAAGATGCTTGAGGCAGATTACCACTTTAATGACAATGACAAAAGTATCATTTCATGCTGCACAGGAGAAGACAATGGAAAGCCACTCCTGCATTTTATCATGGAAGCCACATGGATAGACAAGCTAAAGTGATTAACAGTACAGTGCTGGACGATGGGTGTCTCAGGTTGGATGGCATTCAATGCTACTGAAGAAAATCTGAGGAAGAAGAGTTGAAGATTTTTCAGAGTACTAGTGGTGTTATGATGTGGCTAGATTAAAACTTTCCAAACATCTAGTTGCTGATGTTGCCATGCAGGAAAATATGAATTTGCAAAAGACAGAACTATGCTGGGAACATGGAAAGTAAGCAGCATGAATATGGGAAAGCTTCACATAGTGAAAGATTAAATGAATTGGCTATACATTGACATCTTAGGCATCAGCAAATTGAAATGGACTAGGATTGGACACTTTCGGCAGAATATCTTACTGTTTAGTATTCAGGACAAGAAAAACAAGGAAGTAACAGTCAGAAAGGATATAGCAAGGATACTACTTAGGTACAAAGCAGTCACTGACCAAATAATATCAATTAGACTTTGTGGACAACCCCATTAATATGGCAATTATTCAAGTTTATACAACCACTGTGCAAAAGGTTGAGGAGTTTTATGGTCAGGTTCAATCAGAAATTGACAGATCATGCAGGCAAAATATGCTGCTTGTCATTAGAGACTAGAATGCCAAAGTTGGAAACAGTAAGGAGAAAAATGTAGTTGAACTTTACGGCCTAGGAAATACAAATGAAGGAGAACAACTTATCCATTTCTGACAATCCAATTGTTCATTGCTAACATATTCTTCAAATGACATCTATATACATGAATATCACCAGATGGAGCACAAAGAAATCAAATTTACTATATTAGCAATACAAGGAAGAAGAGCTCAGTTGTTATAGAAAAGAGGTGGCCAGAGGCTGACTATGAAACTGGTCACAAACTGCTCATGTGCAATTTTCAAGTCAAGCTAAAGTGGAAGAACAAATCTAACCAGTTTCTAAATTATGATTTTGAGAATATACCCACTATTTTCAAGAACCTCAGGAATTGCTTTGAAGTCCTGAACCTCACTGACAGGAAACCAGAGGAACTGCGGAATGAAATCAAAGTAGTTGCTAAAAAGGAATGTGAAAAGAGATTCTCAAAGACCTAAAAACTGAAGAAACCAAACTGGATGTCAGAGCAGATGGTGGAAATTGCCAAGACGACAAAGTTCTCAGGAAGAAACTTAATGAAGAATTGCAGAGAACTGTTAGAAGAAACAAGACGCAGGACTACAATAACATCAGTGAAGACATTTAACATGGAAACAAACAGAGAAAAACAAAGGATGCCAAAGGATAGATAGTAATTTCAGAAAGAACAAAGTTGGAAAGAACAACAGACATTATAACTGATATGTGATGGAAAATTGAGAAAGCTAAAGAATACCAAAAAGAAGTCAATATGTGCTTCATGAATTATAGAATGGTCCTGAATTGTGTCAGTCAAGTGTACTTAGGAAAATGGGAATCCCAGAACATCTCAATGTCCTCATGCAAAACCTATACACAGGTCAGGAAGCCAGAGTCTGGACTGAACAAGGCAAAATAAATTGGTTGGGAAAGCAGTGAAACACGGCTGTATTCTGTCTCCTTATTTATTCAATATATACTCTGAATACACATTGAGGGAAGCTGGATTGGAAGAAAATGAGCATGGTTTTAAAAGCAGAGGAAGATACATCAACAACATGCACTAACCTGATGATAGTGCCCCGATAGCTGAAAAGCAAATGATCTGCAAGCTCTAGTAATGAAAGTTAAGAAGCACAGTGAAAAAAACTCAGACAATTAAATATAAGTAGACCAAACTAATGACAACAGCAACCAGTCTTAGAAGTGGCAATGAAGACGCTGAAGTGGTGAACAGCTTCTGCCTTTTAAAATTGACCATTAACAGTAAAGGAAACAGTAGTCAAGAAATATGCCACAGACTAGCATTTGGGGTAGGACAGCAATGAAAGCCTTGGAAAAGATATTCAGATGCTGGGATGTGTTTATACCTATTATATTCTGGACACATTATATAGGAAAATTCTCTTCTTGAGAAGCCAATAATGCTTGGAAAAGTGGAAGGATGATGACTAGCAGCAAAGTAGTTGGAGGAACCTTTGGGAGATCTGAAGGGCCAGGTTGGCGACAGATCATCCCGGGGAAGGTCTATCTATGCGGCTGCTGACAATGTCATGGTGGCACATAATCACTTAAAAAACCTGCATGTTTTCACCACACAGAGAGTGTAAGGTTATGATTTGTATACCATCTGGATTGGCTTCTTCAGAGCACAGTATTTTTGTTAAGGATTAAAAAAAACCCTCTAGTTGACTTTCTCACTGGCACAACATAGAGAATGAACAAGATATAGCAGCATGGAAACCAAAGGCATGAGAAAAATCTATCATAAACATAAAATACACAAACATTAAGTTAAGCTGACCAAGAAGCAGCTATAGCTACCAAAACAAAAATATAATGTAAACTACAGGACAATGAATCTATAAGAACTTCCTATTAATAGCACACAAAGAAATTCAGGGTGCCCCATAATTAAGTTGAATATTTGTATCTATATCTGCCCATGATATGAGTCTATTCAGTTCCATGTTGCACCTTGCTCATGAATGCTGACTAACAATCTACACTACTAACATAAAGGACAGGTATGGATTATAAGAATAGCTCATGAGAATGAAGATTAATGGTTATGTTACTAATTACTCCTTTTTTTTAAATTGAAGTTTAATTTTCATATTTACTATTTTCACAATTTTTGAAAGAAATTATTTCCTTCATATTTTTACAAATAAGTAGCAAACTAATAAAAACTGAGATGGCAATTACTTAGCATTTGAGTCCTAATGTTTTATATACAAATAATAACTAATGACCAGTATCAAGATGCTAAAAACTCTTTCTTAAAAACAAATGTATATATGGTACCTGAAATTCTGCTACTGCTGAATCAAAATCACAAAAGCTGGCCTTGTGAAAATGTCTTCTCTGAAATCTTTAAGAACAAGCTTTTATATAGTATGCTGCAATTGAGAAATCTTTAATCTGAGTTTAGCATAAAAGGCAAGAGGTCAAACACTAAATCATTGGGGTGCAGCTTTTTCATGCCAAAGGTCATATTTTGTCTTAGGGTAGTATTCTAAGGGGCCACATTCCAAAATGCAGGCAGAATTCAATAAAAACAAAACTCAATTGTTAAAATTAATTCAGATTATAATTGCATGATTCTATTTTAAATTACATTTTTAACAGTTTTCCCCTTCTATCCCATTAACATACAATTTCCTGGCAACTTTTAGAGGAACTATGGAACTGCCTGCATCCAAGCAGCCATATGCAGTTCGGGGAACTCAGACTATTCATCTCTGCCATAAACCATTAGCTATTCCTCAATTTTATTAGGATTCAAGAACACATCCTTTGCAATATATACTCCTAACATGGTTACCTCTAACACATGTGAGCATAGAAAAGCATACCAACAAAAATATGCATCTTGTAATACTGCAGATTTGAAGATTCATCTTTTTTCCAGAGTATTTTAAAAATGGGCAGATGACTATGATCATGATATTATTTCAAAAGCATCTCCTTACCACTTTTTCCTTATTAGCTGTTACCTTTAACTTTGTTTCTGTACCAGTATCTGTCCATTATTGGCAACTATCCTAAGCTATCATTGGAAAATTTTTAGTTTTTGGTTACAAAAAGTGAGCAACCTTATTTATTTTTGTCATACATGTAACCCATGGATGGTGCTGCTGTGTGGCCTTCAGGCAGAATTCTGGAGGAAGGTGCTAGGGTGGTTCCCAAGAATCTGGAGGATGGGGACAGTGGCTGTTGTGAATTGTAAACAGTGCAGATGATGTGTACAGGAGATGATGAGATAGGCTCTGAGTTGAGGTTGAATTTTTAGACTCTGAGGCCAGAAGACAGGCCAGCAGAAGAAGACATATGGAGCTGCAGTGACTCCCTGGAGATGAGTTGAAATTAAAAAGAGGAGAAGAAAACAAAGAAGGGGACTTAAGAGAACATGTGGGAAAAGAGCTGTGGATTGAAGTTTTTGTGAAGGATTTAGTCAGTCAAGTGTAGTGGTTAAAGTGTGGGATTAGACACCAAGAGACCATGAGTTCTAGTCATCCCTTAGACACGAAAGCCAGTTGGATGATTTAGCCAGCCTCTCAATCTAATCTACTTTACAAAGCAACTGTTGTGAGGAAAATAGGAGGAATGAACATTGTATACATTGAGTTATACAAAATAAAGGTGGGGTATATATAAATAATAAATGAGTAGAGTGAACAGAGGGATTTGTGAGATAGAATGGTGAAAGAAATCAAGAAGAGGAAGTTGAGAAGTGTAGAAGGATACTGGAGTAAGAAAATTGAGCTAGAAATGAATACTGAAAGGATATTAGTGTTAGAGATTGAGAAGATGGCACCATTTTGGAGCCTGCTATTGGTAAACACCTGGCCCATTTGTAATTAGGTCACATTCGTTCACAACTTGATCATGGATGAGTGAGCGTACCTGGCATATATTCCCCAAATTTGGTTGAGTGAGGACAGCAATACTGGCCACTCCAAGATTTGTACTCCCAGGTTTCAGCAACTACGATCCAAGGCCAGAGAGGAGGTAGCAATGATCTTCTAGGACATCTTGGCTCAAATCAGAGGCCTTGCTGCATAGATGATGGGGTGCAAGCACTTATATTTGAAGCTAGGTTGTAAGGAGAAGTTCAAGATTCTGTATATGTACTGCCTGCCCAGTTCCCTGGGAGGATCCCTTCCTGAGATCCTGGACTTCATCATCAGCTGGTTTTGGAATCTCTTTTGACAGTTGATATTGAGGGATTTCAACCTCTGTGCTGGTGGTGGTCATCATGTCTTCCACAGCAACCATGACTCTCCATGGTCCCATACCAGGTAATCTCTGGCCTGACTCATATAGATGGTCATACACTAGATCTTGTTTTTACCTCAGAGTAGTTAGCTTGTGATATGAAGATGGAGGATGTTACTATTAGTTCTCTGCCATGATCAGATATCACTTTTTGGTCCAGAGAAAACTCATTACATTCTGTGACCTCTGTATATGGAGGAACTAATGAGAAAGGTCTACCCCAAGTACCTTATAGATCTGGATGGATTCTAGCAAGCACTTTAGGATTTGCCCAGCAATCTGATAGGCAATACCAGCGAGCAACCAGGTGAGCTCTAGAGCATAGAGGTAATTAAAATTGCCTCTGTGTGACCTCTCTGTTGGCCAATCCCTGGGAACTCCTTAATTTATTGAGGAGCTCAGGGAGATGAAGCAATGTATGTGACACCTAAAGTGCCAGTGTAGAAGACTGAAGGACATCTAATCAAACACTTCCACAATAGTTCACTGATAAAAATGGTCATATTTGCTGAAAACTGGATTCTGCATGGGTGAGATCTCATGAGATGACTGGGGCAACATTATTGCTACCTGGGATTTATTTCAGCTTGCTGATCCTGAGAAAGAAGATATAATACTCTCTACTTCCACAGGGTCAAGTGGGATGGATCTACATTGCACCAACTTTTGTGGGTTGCTGGGGAAGTGACTGGCTGGAAGGCTGTCAACACTTCTTTGGGAAAAGTAGTTCTACCTGGTACCCTAAAGGAGACAGTGGTTGAACAACTTCTGCCATGTCTCCAACTTTCTCTTTTTAGGGAAGTTAGTGGCATGTTAGCCACAGAGCAACCTGGAAGAAGTAGATTATCTGGAGCCCTTTCAGTCAGGGTTCAGGCTTGGGGATGGGACAGAAACCACATTGATTGCTCTGCTGGATGACTTCCGTCAGGACCTGGATGAAGGAATATAGCCCTCTTGATCTCTTACACCTCTCAATGGCATTCAGTACCACCAATCATGCTATCCTTCTGGATCACTTGTGAGGATTATCTTCAGAACTGTCTTCTTAAAGTAGAACTAGTTCATTTTGTATACTTATTCTGTAAAAGGATATTTAATAACCCCTCTGTTCAAGAGGTTTGTGGGAAAGGGCCTGGAGGCAATGTTTATCTGTTGCATCCTCTTCACTTTGGAACAGATTCTCTTTGCTTTGTGGTTCCTTCTTTGAAGTCTTTTAGGAATGTCATTAAATGGTGCTGTTTTGCAGAATTTTTTATCTATATCATCACTAGTAGGATTAGTGCCAGTGGGATTTTTAAAATTTAAACTGCTTATTTATTGTTTGCTGTATTTTTATTTTAATTGGGAAACATTGGGGGCCATTTTGGAGTCCAGCAGCATAGAAAATTTGTAGGTAAAGATCTAATGCATGATTAAATAGATTCAAATCCTAGTATCATATTACAAAGATCATTAATACAAAACTGGATACAGCAATTTGGTAGTTAAAGATCTTTCATTTGCAAGCATTTATTTTGTCATTGCATTCCCTAATTTGAAAGTGATTGCATTTTGTTTTTCAGTAATGTAATATTTAAATTGACAGAAGCTTTTAACACAGGTGTCAATAAAGTAAAAAAAACCAGTAAGATAATAATTAGTTACTTACAAACTAAAATCTTATAACCTGTATAGGTTGATATTTTCCATATTTATGGGCATTGATAGTTCAAAATTTTATCCATCTTAAGCTGTCAACTAGTATTTAAAAAGTACATACCTGGACATAAGTATAGTTATTTCCTGATTAGAAACATGTAACTGGTTTAGTAACTTGGTGATATACCCAATATGTTCACATTCAAGGACCATTCCAGCATCAATAAGCTACAGTAATGAAAACAAAAATCCACTGATCCTGATAATGAACTTTTTCAAGTCTTTCACAATTAAGTGCTTACAATGTTCTTTACAATGATATGGAAAAAATAGATAACATATGTAAAAGTCCTCTTCATTCACAATGTGTTCATGATTAGACATATCAAGGGAATAGCTGATGGCAATATCCTTGCAGTTCCTAATACTGCTAAGATACTGCTAAATTCACAATGCGCTGCTCAGTGGTAATAAAGATAATACTATATTGATAGTATGGTCAGAGCTTAGCTTAATGTGAAGCAGTCACATCAGCCAATAGATTCTAAGTGGATTTTTATATCCAACAAGCCATAGTGTAATTTAATGAAGTGCACTTTTAATTTTTCATTACATATATAAAAATATTGAAAAGTAATAGTAACTGCAAGTCACAATCTCTACAGAAATCTGTAGATGGTGGCAAATGCCAAGTTTTTTAGGTGGACAACTATAACTCAAATAATTGCTGCCAAATCTTCCATGCATTTACCATTTTAGCAAGAGCACTGATTTATTTATTATTTATTCAAATTTATTAGCTGTTCAACTCCAATGGACTCTACTGTATTTCCAAAAATTCCTTCCTCCTTCATATTTTTGAGCTATAATTAACATAGCACTTTTCAAACAAGATTATTTTCATTGAACCTTGTTCATCTTTTGGAATTTTATATGGGCTGCATTTTCAGTTGAAAATGCCAGTAAATCATTTTTAAAATAGATTTTAACCTAAAAACATGATTCTGTTCATATTCTTTAATATGAGACACCATAAAAATAAAAAAATAAAAAATGTAATTTGTGAGATTATCTCCAATACACAATTTTCTTACAAAGTCTATAGTAATACTGAAAGTAGAATCTCTAGAAACAAAGTTTCCAGGAAGGAATTAAATAATCCAAATCATACCTTACAAAAGATGTCAGATAACTCAGGTACTGCCTCTCTTACTTTCATGGAAGCCACTTCTTCAAATATTTTGAGTAGAATATCTACAGTTGGCTAAGCAAAAATAAATGCTTTAGTATTAAAATTTAATTTATAAATGGATAAACAAATGTAAATTACAATTCATTTAAAGATTCCCACTTCCAAGACTTCAAGCAGGTTTTAGACACACCCTGATATAATATTGCCACTTATGAAATGGCTTAAACTCAAGTCCTTTGCAATTATCACTGAGAGAGTTTCAAAGATTAGACAACATGATCCTGTGGAAAGCAACCATATACACCTATCTTTAAACTGTTTTCAGATTCAGCCAATACCATCTTGGCATGGCATCATAAGAAAATCATTTGACTGCCAGGGGAATTTGAAACCAGGCCAACAGCTAAATAGCAATCCAAAAGCCAAATAGTTTGTAAATAAAGAGATTACAGTAAATTAAAATGTGATTAATCATTATTTAGTCAGAAAATCTTTAGATTACTATCTTACCCTACTTATCTGAGAGTAGGTTCTATTAAATTCGTTGGGATTTACAAAATGCTATTAAACACATCAAAGGGTCACTTACTAATATTTTAATCATAATGCCAATATGCACTACATGAAAAAGTTCTTTCAGCAAAGAGGACTGAAGCAAAGATGTTAGTAGATCATGGAACGTTTGTGAATCCAAGTGAACTCCAGTGGTACCTTCTTTGTAGTAATCTGTGAATATATGTACTAGAGAAAACAGGAAATTTAGGTGTGAACTTAAGCAGTATTTAAGTAATTTATTACTGAAATGATACAGTCATTTTGAAAAGGTAAAATGCATAAAAAGGATGCAATGGAAATTCAATTTTACTGCACAAAAGGATTTTCTTGGGGTACCATTTTTCCCTACAATTTTTGAAAAACAACCTTATTTCTTATACAGCAATATTATTCCATGAAATACTAGTTAACAATAAATCATTTTTTACACTTTACAAATTATGTAACTGTATAAATGTTTATGTTATAGATCTGATTTAAAAACTATACACTGGCTTTAGCTTTATAGGGCTCTATAATAGGTCAAATCAATAATAATCAATAGGGCTCTTAAACTACAGTAGGTCAAATCCCACTGATTTAAGTGGTTCTTTTATAATCACAACTAGATTAATTCCAATCTACTATAATGTTCACAAATTTCTACTCAGTGTGGTGAATTATGGTGCAATATCAGGATAATTCTTGAGCAATTAATATATATTATATATATTCTAAAAATCAGCAGATGTCAATCTCAAAGTCAACATATCGAGTATATAGTAATGTTGAATTTATCTTACCTGCACGTTGCAGCAAAACTACTTCACCAATATTTATATATTTCTTAATTATTTCATTGCAAAGCTAGTAAATAAAATAGAACCACAAAGTTATTACTCTTTGCTAAAACATGAAAAGGTAAAAGAAACAGTGCAAATTTATTTAAAGTCCAAATAGTACCAAAATTAATTTTCAGTTAATCAAAAGAAAATACATAGAAATGTAACCTCTGTTTTCTTAAATTATCATACATCTATTATGAAGTAATTATTTTTATAGGCTACAATCTAAAGCAGCCTTATATGGAATATGTTCCAGTGATATTTGTAGGACATTATTCCACATAAATACATTTACAATTGAAGTGGCAAACAAATGGAAAATTCTCGAGAAAGCAGAATAGCTCCAGTATGAAAATAAAAGCAAATTTGGAAAACTGCTATTATGTACTGATAATATGTAAATATCTGTGGTTAAGTATGCAGAAATTCTGTTCCAAAACTTAAACTTCTATGTATTTTATATCATTCTTATTTCCTCCTTCCCTCCTTGTCTAGAGTTTTGCAGCATGTATAGAGAACTCAAGAAACAGATGGGCATTGCTTTTGAAAGCAACACATTGCTGCTGATGCCTACTGCAAAACCTCAATGAGAAGAGGAGAGGTTGTCATCTTCCTTTTTCCATCAGGCTTTCTCCAGAAGAAAGAATCCTCTCCTTTTCTCTTCAATATTCCAGGGAGAGGTGATTTATCTTCAACAAGATATATCTTGCACAAGTCAAGAGGAAAAAAATAAGACAGACTAGGCATTTTTCATGGAAGGGTTGGGAAATAAATTATTTTCTTTTTTTCCAAACGGATTTTCTCACACAGAAGAAGCAAGACACAGCTGACATATGCAAGAAGTATGTCAGTGAAACAATTAACTTTCTTTGGTATTTGAGAAGAAAGGAGAAAGTATGTTTTCCCTTTTGAACTGGCTTTGGCAAAAAGTGCCATGAATAATAATTGCTGCTGTCATCTCTGACAAAATCCCAAAATGGTATGCAGAATAATTATTTTCTTCCAAGAGTAAGAAAAAGAAACATTACTTATCTTCCCAATGCTAACTTCACAGTTGAGAAAATTCCAGAATTTGACTCCTCTATATTCAAACACAAAACTGTATTGACCATGCCAAAGTCCTATTATAGTTATTTGCCTAAGGAAGTGAAGGCCCATACTGTAAATCCCCCCAGCAAAATTCAGGAAAGAAGGTTTTTTCCACTGCCAAAAATCAGGGAAAAAGGGATGGCAAAATTTTATAAGTAAAACGGTTAACATGCAAAACAAATCACTCTAGGTTTGGAAAGACCTCTTTCCCCTTAGCAATGTTATACAAAGTGCAGAAAGAGTTAAGCAGTAGTAAGCAAAAATGTAAAGGCAAGACATAAAAAAAGAAATCAAACTAAATCTAATTACACCAACACCAATTAGTATACCTCTCCATAATTTTCAGATCATCTTTGCTTCTACCATTTTTGCACACTGTTTCATATATTCCCTTACATACTTTTAATGTATACGTCTCTCTTTCTGAGAATCAACTCCATCAAACACATTCATTCATTCATTCATTCATTCATTCATTCATTCATTCATTCATTCATTTATACATAGACTTATCCCCGCCCATCTCCCCGCAATGGGGGACTCTGGGCGGTTTACATCAAATTAAAACAAAT